TCTCCCCCCCAAAAAAAATACAACGAACAATCATCCGCAAAACCAAGCGCACCTGCACGGCGAGCGACATGAGCACGCGCGCGTGCGGCGGAGCCGCGAGGCCCTCCAGCAGCCTGAGCTGGTAGCTCACCACCGCCCTCCGCTCGCCGCAGTTCGCCCCGACCCTGCCGGACATGTGCCTCAGTCCGTTCGCTAGCGCGTCTTCCATGTCTGCAGGCAGGGTAGAGGGCGACGGGGGAGGGGCGCCACTACTTGAAGCACCGTCACCCCCGCCCGAGGAGGAGGAGGCGGCCACGGAGGCGTCCATAGCAGCGAGGTGCCTCTCCAGTGCCCCCAGGCTCTGTTTGCCGCCCCGAGAGGGGATGGATGCACGTGAGGGCAGGCAGCAACGCATCAGAAGGCAGCCTCCAACAAGTGCGCTAGCCCCTTGAGAAACGGTCGGTTCGTTGTCATCGATGCCCGCCCCACGGCACACGCGTGTTTTTCGCGTCCTTTTTGAGGCAAGGGGAGTTTTTTACCATTTTCTTTGTCTCGGGGCACCGACCCCCTCGCGTGCGGGGCTGCTGACCGTCTGTGTTACCAGTGATACATGTTGTTGTTGCTGTTGTGGTGGCTGTCTTTCCTGGAACCAACGGCGTGATGTGATCCTCTCGTCTCACAACAAGGCACACACTCCCGGTTCGCAAAAAACATTCCGACTCAAACAAGAAGTAACAAGCATACGCCATGTTATGGACTACACCAGCGCCAGCGGATGCCAGCAACGACGCCAGCAACGACACCAGCAAAAAAGCAAGACATCAACAGCAGCTGGCACACGCCAGGCGGGGGAGCCGCTCGATCACGGCTACATCGCCACGTTTCACCAAGCCAACCAACAGCAGTACCCACAACACATATACACGCGGTATACAACGCACCTGGCGCTTGAGCTCCCTCAGCTGACGAGCCGCGTCGTGCAGCTGCAACACCTTCAAGTTCTCCAACGTCGCCGTCAGCTGGCCAATCTGCGCAGGAGAGGGGGGGTGGGGGTCGTGAATGCAAGCACCACGTACAGATGCGGCGAAAAAGCGCCGCTTCGTTGACTGCGTAGGCCTCGGCTCACGGGCGTTCGGCCTCAACACGCAAATCGATGAAGACGGGGCGCCGCTCTCAGCACCGCTTCGATTGGCCGGCATGATAAGCCTTCTCGGAAACGAGCCTCGACGAGATGGTTCCAACGCCGCCATGATCGGCACCGGCACCACGTTTTCTCTTTCCAGTTAAACGGTGCTTTGACAATTGGTCCAAGGGTTGTGGCATCTTGTGCACAAGCCACGTTCACACGAACAACAAAGATAAAAATGAGTTGCTGTTCTTTGTTGAGGCACCAGGTGTGGAATCATACGCACACGCAAGCGCACACTACACACCCACACAACAAACAAGAAGCAATCATTGCTCTCTTCTTAGGCACGGGGGGTGGTATCTCGCGCAACCAGCGGCACACATGCAACAACATGAAAAAACTACTTGATAACATATGGAAGGCAATTCTTCTCGCATTAAAAATCGAAGGCAAAGCACCGCAGGAGGGGTGGGAAGGGGACCTCAGGTAGAGGAACCCTTCTGTGTGACCACGGGTTGGAGTGAACTGCACAAATGCTGTGAAAGCTAATTTGAGATAAGGCAAGAAAACAAGGCAAATTGTGGTATATTTCGCAGCCAACACGTACACCACAAAGAAGAAAATTGCATTGCAACCACCCTCACCTTCCCTTTTACACACGCATACACAAACACAAACGAGCGTAGCAAGGTATCCACCCCACCTTCTCCTCCAGGAGCTCGAGGTGCTCCTTCTTGCGCCGTCGTGACTGCCTCGCGCTCTCACGGTTCCTCGCCAGCCGCTTCTGCCGCCTCTCGTCCTGTCGCAACGAAAAAAAACACACACACAAAAGCCACTTCCATGAGGCGTTTAGAATGGAATGTGTGTACAGGTCCTTTCGAACGAAGAAAGGAAACACACAAAAGCCACTTCCATGAGGCGTCTAGAATGGAATGTGTATGCAAGTCCTGTCACGACGAAAAAAACAAAAACAAAAAAGACACATCCCATAAAGGAGTTTAGAATGGAATATGTGTACAAGTCCTGTCGCAACCAAAAAATGTCGCAACGAAAAAAAAAGCAACACAAGACACACCCGGCGTTGGGTATAGTATGTGGGTACAAGGCTCGACCTGCGTGCGCACGAGGAAGAAGGCAGGAGCACGGCATCAGGCAAGTATTTAGTTTTGCCTCCTGAGACACTGCTGCTGCTGCTGCTGCTGCTGCTGTACAACCCATGAAACACAACACGAACAACAAAACTGCGCAGACCTACAGACGCGAAATAAGCGAGAGACAAAAAATTGAGAGACTCCGTTGCCATGTTTGCTCATGGCCATCACCACCTCTGCACGGCACAAGACCATTTTCGCTTGAGGCGGGACAAGCACAACGAGAGAGGTGACGGATTCAGCAACGCGTGAGAACATGCTGGATGCTCGTCATCGCTGTAAGACCATGTTCGTCAGAAGATCGACCAACGCTCCCAAAACAGAGCTCGCCGTAGATTATTGTTGCAGCGAACAAAATGCGACATCTACACCAAGACCCATTCGGCAGGCTTTGAGAGGGAGAGGGGTGGTTCTTGCACTGACGCGTACCGCTTGTGCTTGCGATAGCTACTTGGGCTTTGCAATCGATACAATCCTCATGGCCTCGGCATCTCGAGGGGAATATCAGGATTTTTCTTGGGAACAAGCAGCAACGCACACTCTTGCAAACACAACTCAGGATGTGCTGCATCATAAGCTGTGATACTTTCCTTTTTGTTGGGTGACCGCCGGCGACTCCTGGGATTTCGTTGCTTCACCATATAGAACGGTAGTAATAGTCCAAGGAGGTGCTGGAGGACCTCTGCACGACGTGGCGTGATAACAACAACTTCAACAAGAGTGACATCAACAATAACAGCTACAGCAACAACGATGGCATCACCAACAACAATGGCACCAACAAAAACAACGACAAGAAAAAAAGAATCGTCAACAACAACTTGGAGTACCAGCATACACACTGTGGGACCACCTGAGTGCCACCCCCTAGCCCCGAAGACTCAACCGCGTTTCGCTGTTGTTGCTGCTGTTGCTGCTGCTGCTGCTAGTGACCACGAAAGCAGGGCCAGCAAAAACACACCCGCCGGACATTGAAGACACAAAAAGTGCCCCGTCTTTCGTTTAGATTCACCATCAAGATAAAAAAAACAAGCTTCGATTGTTTACAGGCAAGTGTCAGGTCTTGACGGCGCGCTTCTCCGCTCGTTGTTTTTCTTGTCACTCGGCCATTGGTCAACACGTCCTCTCTTTCTCGAGGGAGAAGGAGGGGAAGCGATTCTGATCGCGTGAGCGTCCGGGTGCTCTCGACGACCTGTTGGCTAGCGTACGGGATGCTGCCTACCAAAACGAGCAATAAATCTCACAAAACAAAGTAACAAGTGCACGGATGCAAAAACGTGGCGAAGTGTGTAGGACTTCGGTGTATCATGAACAGCAGCAGCAGCAGCAGCAGCAGCAGCAGCAGAAGCAGCACACTCAGCAAGGGCACGACACCGCAGTGCGCTTCGAACGGCGGACGCACACGGTGCTCACCCCCAACGTTGCACTCCCGTGGGAGGGCGACAACCGACGCCCCATCGGCGTAACGCCAGCGGGGGGATGGGTAGCAGAAAAGCCCGCAGCAGCACTGCCACCAGCAAGACCGGCAGCGCCGGGGCTCCGCGGTAGCACCTCCACCCCACCCCCTGGCACGCCTGACAGGCTTGTGGCCCTTGCGTGGCGCGGCATGACCCCGCCGATCCAACCCCCCCCGCCGTCCCCGCCGCTGGCCGCGCCCCCCCCGATGGTCGATTCGAACCTACTAGGCTTGTCTGAGTCGAGAGCGGGCGGGGGGGGGGGG